AAAGGGCAGCCAAAAACAAAGAACATAAATTCAAAGGCCTGCCACGCGCCAATTCGTGCGCTATGGGTAAATAACTCAGAGAATGCCTTATACTTGGCACGCACAACACATATTTACAAAGCCAAACTAAAAGGAAGGCCACTCGTTCAGTATGGGTAGGCTCAGCACTCGAATGATTGTGGAGAGTCTACAGGCTCGAATAAGAGTCGGTATAGTTTTTACCAAACTGTGGGGCGCCACCAGAAACTAAGATACCTGGGAAAATGGTATCGCCCAAAGGTGGTAGATTCACTAGGGCCCCAACATCCCTTAACGTAATAGACATGGGGCCAAGAGGAAAAATGAAGGTGTTATACTCAGGGGACCAAAAGCTCAAAGCAATCGAAAAGAGCGCTGAATCAAAAGTAGGGGGGCGAATAGAGACTTCTAACAAATCAGAAATCCTAGCACTATCAAAAAGTGCCTTAGTAGGACCATAGCCCACAAGGCGAGCATGCCACCTACGAAAAGCTACATCAGATTTAGGCCAAGTGCGAATACCTCTTTCGCGAAGTGGCCCCAGTGGCAAAGAGTTTAGAAAAGGAGGGCCATGAGTGCAAGAAAACAGCTGACCCACCGCCGCCTGTTCAACTGCCTCCGCATTGTTGAAGAAAGGACCCAAGTAAAACTCATTACGCCCAACGTCGGCGGGCGCGAGAAAGTTATGTATGGGCGACTCAGAAGTTTCTGAAAGTCATCAAAACTAAAGGAATCGCTAGCTTGAGATTGTGAAGCAGCCATTGGAGAATGAACGAAGCTTCTCAGGGTTACGTAACAAGGAAGCAAAAGATAAACAGTGAATCGTGAAAGAGATGCAGAAAATATGAGGCATGGTTTGGTAGCAATGAAATGGCGTGTTTGGGGTTTATAAGAGTTTGCAAAACGACGCACTTTTTCAAGTTATAGAAGGAAACAATGATTGAAATTCTTGGGAATTTCGAACGTCGCTGGAAACATGAAGTGAATATGGCAAAATTCTATAATTGTTATTAATTCTGCCATATTGGGGGGTAATTGTTGACACATAAAAATTCAGCCCAAATCGAACAGCCCAAGGAGTAAAGCCCAATTGGAGGATCCCCAAATCGGATAGCCCAAAGAACGAAGTCCAATCGAACAAATCAAGGTGAAGGCCCAAATAAGGGGCCCAAGAATGCGGTAACGCCATCGCCCAA